GCCCCGCAAAAGCCTTTTAAACAAGGTTCTCTTGGTCTTTCAGTAAAAACTTCCTTTGAGAAATGCTGAAAGAGACTTGCCCTATAACTGACATCTGCTCTGTGTACTTACAGCAGTGTATTAAGGTCAATGCAAAAATAATGGATATGTGGTTTTTCATTTCAGTTTTGGAATGAGAGTGATGACACTCTGCTATTAATTTATCAGCCATAAAACTATTCAATTTGAACTAATCATTGAAAATGAATAACAGGGCCAATATTCATATTTTTACTCCCTATTAAAACAGAAAACATATACTTACAGATATTTTAGCAGAAGCATTTATTATATGATTTAATTACCCTTAAATCATGTTTTTGACAGTTACCAGTCCAATTAGCAAGTATGGAAAAGTTCTGATGGAAATAAATTTTTGTGCCAAATATTTTTCTTCATGTAAGCAACAAAAATTTGATAATAAGCCACCAAAATATCTGTTACTTTAAAACCTGAATATTTTTAACATAGCCTAGCGCTATCTCCAAAGCTTATTTCTGAAGAAAAAGAGAGGCTTATTTAGAGATAGGATACTTTTCTCCTCTTTAACACCTACACTGTTGATATCTTCTGAAAATTGCATAAATATATTATGTATCTTGCTTAAAACCCGCAACTGTTCATCCTTAATTGTCAATCAAAAATGCATCATGTGTCTATTTGCTTAGAACAATTTTGTTAGATAATGCAGAAGACCACAAGATAGCTATAGCTAGAGAATAACGTAGCCCTAAATTATTCAATTTCCCTTTAACTTTTATCTAATTTTGGTCTACAAAGAATTGAATACTTGCAAGATTTTTAATGCTGATATTCTAAGTAGATATTTGTGATGAGGGAATTAAAAGGCTTGGCAACTATAAGCTGAATGAGATTTTTAGATGATGAAATATTGCCTCCTTTGCAATGTGAAGTCACTCTTCTTTTCATCATATAATGTTCTTAGAATACACATGTGGGTTTATTGCTGACATCTGTACCTTACTGAAGTAGCTCAGAAATATTGTTCTTCCTATCTGGTAAATCAGGTAAAAACCTTTGGTTACCTTCACGTATCACTGTAAAAACTGTGTGGTGTGCAGTCATATGCCCATGAGTCTTTCTGCAATGTGCACATCATGATAAAGTTCTCAAACAAGCTGGATAATGCGAAATGACAGTGTAGACTATTTCTTCAAAATTACTAGCATGGCACTGTGTCATTGTGTTTTAGTCACCACTGTCCCCAGAGCAAACACGAAAAGGACTCATAAACCTTGTAAACACTGTGTCAGTGCTTGCAAGCACTCAGCATAATTTTTGCACTGCTTGGAAAACAATATTTTCTTGCTAAACAACTCACGTCTGACGTCTATCACTGCTCAGTGGATTTGGCGCAGGTTAGTGTCTCAGCTCATGAAGGAGGACTTGTTTTCCTCACTGCTGACAATAAACCTCAACCACGACCTGGAGAAATGCTGTGATTATAGATCTATAGTTCCTGGGGACAATTACTGCCTTTCGTGTTCCATTGTGTACATTTTTTTTTTCTAAGTATAAACATCCATCTCAAAATCATTCACCTTTAGCAACCTTAATTTAGTATAGAGACACAAGAACCATTGAGCAATCTTCAACATTTTCTATCTGAAATGAAATTAGTTAAGTATGAAGGAATCGGGATATGCTGTGTGCAGAAGCAGGAATTTGGGAATGGGTTTAAGAGATATCATTGTATTATGTTTATGAACCATGCCTCTTAAAAAAGATGCCACCCCGCACCCTTATCCACCAGTGTCTCTAATAGACTTCTCTCCACCTATGACCTCTCTTGACTCTACTCTCCCTGGTGCCTGGGACCCTCCCCCCCCCCCCGCCGGCAAGCATCTTCTCTTGCACAGTCCCATCTGTTTTAACTGTCACCTTCAGGATCCAAAGAGCCCTCTTGAACTTTGCCTTAAAGCTTCCCCTTTAGCTTTGACTTTCCAATGATTGTCTTTAGAGGAGACGATTTTAATCTGAAGATATTAAAATAAAAGATCCTATTTGTTAACAAGGAAAATATGCATCTAACCATCATCCCTCTCTGCCAGAGGAATTCTCTTTCTTACCTCTCTCCGAAGAATGCAGTGGACCATGACTATCACAAAACCTTGCAATGAATCAAACACGGCAAAAAGTATTTGGAACAATATGGAGCGTTTGTCTGTCATGGCTAGAACTGCAGACATCCACGTCAGAGCCAGAAGGGGCAACACCACGCAGGAACTCCAAAGAGACGCCCTGTTGAGAGAGAGAGAGCACTGTGACGGAGCCGCACGTCATGCCCCAGGCAATAACTAAGCCCCCGTTCAACAAAGCATTCTTGGATGTGGCACCAAGACCGTTCACTTGGAAACCATAAAGCAGATAACAGTGGATAGTTGTATTTATTTTTTTATAGCCAATCCCACACTAGTTATAAAGGCAGTTGCCAATTATAAATAGTTAAGTATGCTCTTAGCTCCAATAGTAGCAAACATGGTTTTTTTTTTTTTTTTTCCACAATAGCATTTTCTCACATGCACTGTAAAAGATTTGTCACGAGAAGATGTAAATGATTGGGACTAACATGGCGTTACTGGCGGTGGTGGCTGACAAAGCTGTTGTCGAAACTACTCCACACTTGGCACATTTGAGCGTCAAACCGCTATGAGGCTCACTCATCTGACTGCAAACAAACAGAACACCCACAAAAAGAACAAAATATTGAATTGTCACCAAAAAAAAAACACGTTGCTGCTGCAAGTTAGCTTTTAAATACGATTTCATGCAGAAAAGTTTATTTATCAAAGATGAATGCTCCAGGTTGTTTTAAAGATGCAATTACACTACACATTATTTTTGTAACATTTACCTTTTAACACGATGGGCCTTTGTTGCATGCAAAAGCATATTTCCATCAATTACATCCTAAATGGCCCGGTGTCTACAGTTCAAAATTATCCAGTACACTGAGTTAAACATAAGCATGTGCTTGTGTAGACATACAGTGAAAACCCTTTATTCAGACCCCTGGTTATCAAACACATCAGGACTCCTGGCTTCAAAGACTTTCATTGTCATTTGCAGAAGGCACGTGATATTAGTTAAAACCTTCTGAAATGTAAACATGTATATCAGAAGTCCAGTATAAGAAGATATATATTTTAGGTGTTTAATCATTTGTGGGAGATGTAGCCTTTATCTCAACAGATTCATATTTTGAAATTTCTCACAGCATCAATGTATTATCCACATTTTAGGATGATCTGAATATAGGGGCTGATGAAATTTGATGAAATATTAGTTTATAATAAAAGGGGTGATAGCTTAAGGCTTTAATAAAACACATTTAACATTAAGTTCAAAATATTCTTTCTGAACATTTTTTCATAAACTCCAGTTCAACAGCATTTACATGGTCTATTCTAGTCTGGAGGATTTTGCAGGTAAATTTAGATTCAAGTAACTCAGATTTAACCTACTATATCACAGAAGCAAAGTCATGCTACACAGAAAAACTTTGTGAACCCTTTACATTAGAAAAGAGTCCCTTGAAAATGACTGGTTTATTAGAACATAATGCTCTCATGAAAAACCAAAAAGAAATTACTTGAATCAAAGTTCAAAACATCTTGAAATAATTTTCTGTGGTATACTTCTCTTGTCCATTCTCTTGTGGTGCTAATGTCTAAAATATATGTTTTCCCAGTAGGCTTTTTCAAAATAATATTTAGTGGACAGGTAATGTAATAAAAGTGGCAGGACAGAGAAAAATCACAAGATGATCATAATTCAGAACGTCTGGTTTCTTCTAAAGAAGTGCACTCATTTGTGAATAGTGCTTGGATGAAATAATAAATCTGAAAGCTATTAAGTAGATTGATTGACCAGTAGACCCCAGGAGAAAAATCAAAGCTTTTAGAGTTCGATGTGGGGGTGGGAAACATGATACTAAATCATTCGTTTTACTGATTCAACCCAGGACCTGTGTCCTAGCACATGAGACCAAACTTTTCACAATAACAAGTAAGCAACGGTCTATCCAGTTGGATCATGAGTGCCTCAATGGACATGCCAGTGTGTCTGAAACTACTCTCAAAGGAGTGCCTATTTACAGCAGTGTTCTCCACAGTGGCTGCATATTAGATACATATACCCAACCCCAAAGACTCCAATTCAGTGGGGCTTAGGCATCTGGCCCCCCCCTTTTTTAAAGATATTTATTTATTTATTTATTTGGAAGGGGGGGGTAGGGGCAAAGGGGGAGGGGGAGGGTAAGAGAATCTCAAGCAGACTCCACTGGAGCCCACCGCGGGGCTCAATCTTTAGACCCTGAGATCATGACCTGGGCTAAAACCAAGAATCGGGTGCTTAACTGACTGAGCCACCTAGCTGCCCCGGGCATCTGTGTTTTTTAAAGCCCCAGAGATTATTCTGAGGAAAAGCAGGAATGCACACAACTGCCCTAACTACATATTTGAGTATCTTCAATTTTTTAAGTTCCATCAGATTAATATTAAAAAGGCATGACTGATCTATTGTTTCCTTTATCAGAGAAGATACGCTATTTGGTATTTGCGCTTTGAACACAAATGTGGCTATCTTTCTTAATTTAAGGACACTGTCTCTAGGCTCTAAAACAAGATTGAAAAGCCAAAGATGACTAAAAATTAATTTTAGTTTAGTACACAATATAAACAAGTATTTTAGCCCTAAGAAAAATGAATTTGATCTAGGTATGGGCTTTCCTGAAAATAAATATTAAGCCAGTATTTGAAATGCTTCTTTCTCTTTGAGATTGATTTGTGATTGACTGAAAGGCCTATACATACTTCCCTTAGTCAGAATTAACTGTTGAAAACTATGCTTGATGTTAACTAGTTGGACACTTTTGGAATTCTATTATTAGATGCATATGGAGTAGAGGAAAGATAGGTTACCAAGGGAGATAGGATATTCTCCCCTAGTTTGTATGAATGCTACAGAAATTAATATAGTATGAAGAACACACAGTCTAAATGCTAAACAGGGTTGCTGCAATGGGAAATAAAATTTAGTTCTTTGTTACAGGGGAAATTATATATATATAAAATAAAAAGTGCTAAGTTAAAAAAAATTGAATTTCCCATAAGTTCAAATGTTACCATATCTACCAGGGCACCAGGTTATTCTGTCTACTCCTGCAGGGTCTTGGAGTCTACAAGCTTCCCTTCCCAATTTTCTTTTTCTTTTGCTTAGGAAAAAAAAAAAATTATCTGATTGGTTCATTACTGATACTATGTAAAATCCCCTGAAAAGAAAATACTCCCTTTCCCTTTGGAAAAAATCTCACGATATTTGTATAAGACCCTGGTAGTTTCCTTAACTTCAGGTAGATGAGATAAAGCAATTTAAAATAGTAGATAAGAAAGTTCCATTGTAAAAAAAGAGAAAAAAAAAATGAAATATCCTGCTTGAGATATATGTTAACAAGGAAAATATTCATATTTGAATAAACATGCCATTTTATCTTTTCATTCTTTCCAATTATTTTGCATAAGATATATTAATGGCAATCAATCCCTCTTTGGTAAATATATGTCATGTATTAGAAAAACTTAATATAATTTGGGTATTAAAAACTTGTCAAGCTATTGTGTATTTCTTAAATATTCATTTACTCATTCTTTTATAAATATTTATTGAACATAAACTATTGCTTGGCAGTTTCTAATAATTATAAAAAGGAGGAAACAGGAACAATAAAATGGGAATAGGAACATACTGGTTCTAAATAATAAACAATATTTCAAAAAACACTTGATATCTACATATTTCCAATGTGAAATGGTCAATATTTATAACTAGGAACATCAATTGTTAATTAGCTTCTTGCTCAGTGCTTCTTTAGTTAATTCTAACTATTTGTTGTTCACTGAAATCTTTATGACTGTCCTCACTGATTCTCCGCAAACTAAAATTAGCTTCAGATACTTCTACAAAATTTCCTTCAATCACACTTGGAAATAGCAAATTTCAATCTATACACACTTAGGCAAAAACTGCATTTTATATTATAGAAAAAAGTTCTTAAAATCTAGAATCATTAACTTGTTGATAATTCTTTTCCACTTTGAACAGTAACCAGCATTCTGCTTTTATAACACATATTAAAAACATTTCTATTTCTCCAACGGAGGCCTCTGAACTAGAAAAACACAGATTCAATTTTGCCAGTAAAACAGATGTAACTTCTAATAACATTTTCATAAATAGATATTTTAAAATTAATATGTAGATTAAAGTGAATAATTTCTAAATTCATAATATGACAATTTTGTCATTCTCTTAAACGTATCTTTTACAAAGAGCTATGTAAATCAAACCAGATCTTACACTTAAAATGATTAAATGAGAAAAAAATACTGACTGTAAATTTAATACATCCTTAGCATTATACTCATTCTGATGATCCCATCTCTCTCTCTCTTTTTTTTTTTTTTTTGACCTTAATGTCATGAATGGCAGAATCACAGATGCTTGACTGATAGAAGTCAGGGTCATTTGAAAACAATCTATTTTCTTCATTTAATGCATCCTAACAATAGCCACCATTTGTTGAATGAGTGTTTGCTCTTTGCTATTCTAATGAATCCTCTGTACACATTGTATTTCATACACTCTATTATGAGGCAAAAATCATTATCCTCATTTTACAGGTGAGAAGACTGAACTCCAGAATAACTACCTAACATGCCCAAAGACACACATAGCCAGTAAATTGCAGAGCTATTTTGAGTATGGCTTTGTTCAAAAATATTTTTTACTTCAAGGCTTTATCCTAACCAATAAACCTCTACCCCTCCAATTAAAAAAAGATGTGTGTGTGTATGTGTGTGTAGGTGTGTATGTGTGTGTATGTGCGTGTACGTGTGTGTGTGTGTGTATACACACAGACACACGAGTTTATGTCTAGTGGCAGAACCGAGGTTCTATACCCCGTATTCAGTATGATGGATTTATTCTTACATGATTAATCTGGACAGAAATATTGAAGCTGTTGTTCCAATTCCAACCATACACGGCAGACTAACAAGAATAAGAATGTGAAAGCTTCAAGTTCAAATGGTATAGAAAGCTCAGTGTCTGTGCAAGTTCAAGTTTACCTAGTTAAAGATGCTATGAAGACTCACCTAAAGTGAAAAAAAGTCTCTAGGTGGGAAGTGATGCCCCCCTTTTTTCCAATGATGTTCTGATTACACCACTACAGCTCTAAAGGTTGATATGAATGATTCCAAATTTTTATATTCAAAGCATTTTACTCGTCTTTGACTAGGGGGAACAATACCTAGATTACCTTACTATATAAATCATTACATAGATTACAGAAACATAAAGGACTTAAAATTCTTACTGGTCAGTGATCAAATACTGTGACTATTAAATAGTAACATAAGTTATTAAAGAAATAGCAATTGTAGGTAAGTTTTGAATGAAAGTACAAAGAGAAAGGATAAAGCTATAAAGTTTTCATAAGAAAAGATACAAAGGGAAATTCAAAAGCATTAATATTTCACTCAAATTTCTACAAATTTATATAATGAGGTGAGCATGTAACCTTACAGTAAAAGCTGCTATCAACCTGCTTATGAAATGTTATTAGTCATTAAATGTGGTGATATCATAATGACAGTAATTAAAAGAGATGCTTTTCTAAATTTTGTAAGTGGTTCAAATGTGCAAGTGAAAATTATGAATAAGTCTTCCTAGCAAGTTATAGTCAAAACATCATAAAGAATGAAAATATACGACAAGAATGGTGTTTCATAAGTGATTATTTCATGTGAAGAAATTTTCTGAAATATACGATTAATCAAAGAAAATGCAGTGTTTTTGCCCTAGTAGAGCTTGCTTGTCTTGATTCAGTGGTGTCACACACTGACATGTTCAGCCTACTATCCCGTCCTTTGTGACCCAAACTAGGGGGCCTTGCTCACCTAAGAATAAGTATTTTTATACTGATTCAAAGGGGCACAGGCACCCAATGTTTAAAGCAGCATTGTCAACAAGAACCAAATTATGGAAAGAGCCCAAATGTCCATCAACCGATGAATGGATAAAGAAGATACACACACACATACGCACACACAGTGGACTACTACTTAGTTATAAAAAAGAATGCACTCTTGCCATTTGCAATGAGATGGATGGAGCTAGAGTGTATTACACTAAGCAAACTAAGTCAGTCAGAAAGACAAATACTAATTCACTCATATGTGGAATTTAAGAAACAAAACAAATGGACACAGGGAAAGGAAGGAAAAAGAGAGAGAGAGAGAGAGAGGGGTAAACCCTAAGAGACTCCTAACTATTGAGAACTGAGGGTTGCTCGAGGGGAGGTGGGTGGGGGATGGGCTAACTGGGTGATGGGCATTAAGGAGGGCACTTGTGATGAGCATTGGGTGTTATATGTCAAATGATGAATCATTAAATTCTACTCCTGAAACCAATATTACACTGTATGTTAACTAAGAATTTAAACAAAAACTTGAAAAAAAAATAACATTTTAAGTCCAGTCTTAACATTTAATCTTCTTATCTTACAAACAGGCAATATGCACAAACAAATCCAGACTTTCTTAATGGTCTTTCAAATTATTTTTAGATATTGGTCGCATTACTTAAGAACAGCACATTGAAAACTTGAATGGCAGAATCTACCAGACACGCTGGTTCATCAGGATCAAAATTCAAGGCACAGTTAAAATGCAGTCAATGATGATCTGGAATTGGAGTATGGGATTCACTGGTAAAGAACCTTCAAAATCCACCAATTGCAGCTTACCCGGCTCTGTGTTTGAGCTTTTTATCTAGGATCCCATCTCTGGAAACAAGTTTATTAAATACCAAAATGCCAATCACCATGTTGACCTGTCAAACAGAAACAAAGGTTGACCTTTCAATGATATTGGAGGGAATCAGGTCCCCTTTTCTCCTGAAAACCCTCTTTTATTAATAACCATTTCTGAATTCTGAACTCACAATAGTGATATAAAGCACCTATCAAATATTTTATAAGTGCACAATGAAACAGAACAATTTAACAGTGGTGTGTTACTTTAAAGTTTTAAAGTACAGTAAGTACATTTAATTTCCATGCTTTGCAGTTAACACTGAGGAAATTACCATTTAATTGTCTAACTTGTAAACGGTGCCATACTATACCATCTGGCATTCTAAGTCACCCCTGACTAAAATCAATTGGCCAAATGAGTTTTACCCTAGGAGAGTCAAAAGATTTTGTCTCACAGTGTGAGACTAGGTTGCACCCAGGCAGGCAAAGGTGTTAAGGATTTGTCATTGTCCCCAGCAATGAGAACAGAATGCCTACATTCCTGAGGTGGTGTGGCTATTTCTCCTGTGGGTGGAGCACATTTTGATGTACCATGCTTTTCTAGAAAAGGGAAAGCCTATTCAACTCACCAGAATCCCTTAAGAGATGGACACTAACACCAGTTCTTATAATGTGCTCTACTGAACACTTCTCAGCATTTTCTAAGACTCTCTTACTCTCACTTAAAAGGTCTTTTGCATAATACATCTGAAATGAAATCACACATATTTTTCTTTCTCAAGTAAAATTGTAAAAAGCTGTAGAGATAGCTGTGGTCTATTTGTAGCAGCTTATTATGATAAGCACCCACAGTTCTCTAACCTACCAGCACTTCCTGATAAAGGAATCCAGTCCAACGCTGAAACAAGATAATCAAGGAAAAATATTTTCTTCTTTTTGCCTTCCTGCCCCTTACCCTCCATGATCAACAGAATCTCAGTGCATCCCCCAATGCAAATGGTGAAGCCTTTACATCGAAACTAGCAGTTCACAAAAATCTGTTTTAAACAGGATGACTAGTTTAAAAAAAAAAAAAAAAAAAGAAGTAATAGCTTTAAGTCATAGAGTGACACAATAATAATCAAAAATTGGTAATGAGTCTAGTGTTTGCCAGATGATCACTGTTTACTACATAGAAATTTGCACTGGGGAAAAACAATATCTGTTTTCAGGACAAAGAAAAAAAAAATCCAAAGAACCAACCTCAGAAAAACAGGTATGTGCTAATTTTCTGTTTGTGCCCCAGAGCAACTGTTCAAGTAGTACAATTTATAAAGGTAGATAAATCATATGTTAGAAATATGGCCTTCCAGGAGCTTGTCACAAGAAATTTTTTTTCAAATCTATTTCTAAATACTAGCATATATAACACATGAAAGTGGCACTTGGTAATACCAAACATTAATTTAACTGGTCCACACTAACCACTCTATTTTCAGACCTTCAGAGTCTAGCTGTCAAAGATATTTTTGTCTGACAATGAAATATGGAATGAAGTATGAATGAATGAAATATGGAATGAATGATATGTGGAAATGAAATATGGAAAAGCAACTTCTGCTAAGTTGCTCTTCAAAATCCACTATCTGATCACTTGAAGGAGATATAAAAGAAATCTCTTTTTTTATAACATACACACACAAAATCAATCCTTTAAATTACCAAATTCTCAAACATGACAATGGATTAAGGGCATTTCTACCCTGGAGAATCAGTCAATGCTTTGTCAATCAGCTTTGTCAATAGTCAATGCTATTTGGAAGAAACATAAAACAGAAAAGCACAAAAATTCTCCAGTAAATTCAAAGTCATTTTAATGGTCATATAAATGCCATAATTTAAGTGCTAGATTCTCTGACACTTTCAGTGCTTCTGTTACTTCTAATTCAGAAAGCTTTGCAGGAGAAATTCTGCTTGATTCCAAATGCTCTGTTTGATTTTTACAAAATCTTAAAAATGCATTCAGGCAATCTAGATGAGTTAGCCTTAAATATTTGTCCAACACTGTCAGGCAGGAATGATTAGGCTAGATTTCATAATGCATATTCCTCATCACAGAAAAAAGGGTTTCAGGAGAGACAGTACCTGGAAAATATATCTGTAGCTATTTGGAAACATTTTGATAATTAATTGAATTTTCTATCAAGTAAACAAAAAGACTTTTATCTTTGGTGAATCAATTGTACTCATGGAGATTGTACTAATGGAGAACAACTGGAATTTTTTAAAAAGCAAGTCTACAAGGACCTTAATCTAGACAAGAAGAAAGCATAAAAAAACAAAGACAGATCTATATTTGGCTATTCCATCCCGATATTAAAATCTTCTGTGCCAATTGTCATATTTATAGCGCAGGACAATAATAGTTTTGGTATTTCTTGCCTTGTGGTTAAGATTGAAGAAAAACAATTGTTAGAAGGTCCATATATTTATCATTTAAACTCCTTCACCCGACTTACTACTTGTGGGGAATAAGCCACTCATTTTAGGTAACAATTTAATTAAAAAAAATTTTATATAACTCCAAGTTCTTGCAATATTATCATTTTTTAAAACTTATGCAAGACCAGTAGAATACAATTTTTAAACTTGTCTTGAATAATTAAATGTTTGACATATTACGGCACAATTAAAATCTAGCCTCCAAAACGTCCTCTTTTTAAAATACTCTCCCAATAGGTCTTTAACCTTAATTGACAGAGGGTTAAAAAGTACTGGGGGAGTAGCAAAGAACAGGTATGTAAACAGCCTTGGAATATTTAGGGCACTTTAAGGAAATCTGATGTCCTTTTGTGAAATGAAAAAAAGAATGTCAAGAGACATCTTCAAAAATAAGATGAGGTAAAAAGAATAACCTATCAAGGCTGTCTTCTCAAAGTATCCATCAGGGGCACCACCAAAGTTATCCTGTCTAGTTCCTGCTGGGGGCTGCTCTAAAAACCCCTGCAAAGCCATACACCCTTTTATTGTGGATGGTTTCCTGGGTGAGGAATGAATTCAAACAAGTTTGCAGGGGTGTGTCTTACTTCAGTCTCCCCCCACACGAGAGGGATCTGGTTCCTCTCAGGAGCAGCAAGCCCAGAGCTTCTCGGCTGGTCCTCACTCTGAAGGCAGCTCACAGTGTCACTGTGATAGCTGGGGCCAGATTTAGAGATTGCTGGGGAAGAGCACTGAGCAATGTTTGGCAGCTCTGCAATGGAGAGAAACCTCACGGGCAAGAGCGGCACTGCTGGAAATGGGCTCTGTATTTAGCTACCAAGCAGCTAAGACCCCAAATCTTTACCTTTTAAGACAACAGTTCTACCTGCAGTTATTCTTGATTTTCTATTCCAGAGGATCATGTGAAGACAAGCAAAGAAATTAAGTTGCATTCTTATAATTATTTGAGATTGTTAGCTTGGTGAGGGAATTTCTTATGCATTCTCTTTTTTGTCCTGGATCTAATGTCTACTATTGTTTCTATCGATTCATATTAAATAAATGACTCAGCTCTTTTTAATCATATTAAATTCCATATAATTTAATCATTAAATGAACCAGTAAGATTATTCTCAGTTTCATGTGTGTTATGCCAATGGACATAAATAATATGAATGACTTCACATTACAAAAGTATTACATGACTTCTCTGATAGCAAAGGAAATAAAAATGGTTTGTCCTTTGCTTGACATGGAAGGAAAAATATGGACTTTATTCCTACATTTCAGTCCTAATGACTTTCTACTGGAATCTTTTTTTTTTTTTTTTAAAGATTTTATTTATTTATTTGACAGAGACAGAGACAGCGAGAGCAGGAACACAAGCAGGGGGAGTGGGAGAGGGAGAAGCAGGCTTCCTGCTGAGCCGGGAGTCCGATGTGGGACTCGATCCCAGGACCCTGGGATCATGACCTGAGCCGAAGGCAGTCGCTTAACCAACTGAGCCACCCAGGCGCCCCTCTACTGGAATCTTTTAACATCTAAAGAACCTATCACTCTCAAAATTGTTGTAGCTTTCTACCTTGCTTTGTATCAGTTTGGGGGGGTAACAGTAAGCTTCCCTAGAGGACATTTCACATATATGATCTGAAAAAATGTAATACCATTTCTTTAGCATGCAAATGAGAAAAGGAGGAAGAGAAGTTCTAGGTCAGACACCCCCGCTTAGGCCTGCACAGAAGATACTTCATTTTAGCCTCAAGCCATCCACTTCAAGGCAAGAAATAAAAACCTAATTCATGACCTCTATTCTTATATTTATTTTAAACCTCTATTCTAGACATATTCAACTTTCTGCCACCAGTGTAACAATGTTGCAAGGTGGGATCCCAGGGAACCGGAAGGAGTGGGAAGTGGGATTTGCCTATCCTTTTGACCAGATACTCAGAAGAATTTTAGGTAAAGCAAGCCATGGTTGGATTGAGTTTGCCAATCTCTGCCATGAACTCTGTGTCTCAATTTGTTCACAGATGCTGATTAAGGCTGATGAAAATATTCATAATATAATTGTAATTGTGCTCAGGTCAGGAAAGCCTAATCTGGAGGGAGAGGTACGATTTATAAAAAATGGAATAAGGGAGGTTGGTGATTTCTAGGAATAAGTATATAGGAAGAGAAGCATACGATCCTTGCTTATGTCACATCCATGTTCCTATTTAAAGGCAGTCTTTGTGCTTTTCCATTCTCTGTTCTGATAAAATCCAGCTTCATTGCAGTACCTTCAGCCATTCTCCCATTCCCAGAAAACAAACACAACACACAAAATGATCTTTAAATGTATATCTTCTTGAACCTTCAATTTGGCCTGACAAAGAGAAGGCTCTTAGCAACCCACTCCCTTCTCCCTTAAATCTTTGTCCTTCTGAGCAAGCTGAGAATCTCAGAATCAGTGGTACCCTGACCCTCCTACCCTGGACCATTCACTAACTCTATGAAATCTATTGAACTTCTTCATGACATGACATACAGTGGCCTCTTACCATGACCACTGAACACCCCAATGAGAATGCTTCAAAAACACCACTTAATCAATGCTATGCACTCAAATGTTGTCAGTACTGTCTTTCTCTTGGGGTTACAGTTATAATCTTTTTTTTTTTTTTTGAAACCACTCTAGTGTCTAGGATCACAGCACTTGCTTTATGCCTCCATGTACCCCGGATGGTCCCAGAGAAGACTACTCTATATTCACCATAGGCTCCATTCCATGGAAACCACATGCCTAGTAATCTCTCTCCATCTTCCCTTATTCAAAACTTCCACTTCTTTAATCTTCTGACCCCGTTTCTCCGCTCAGGACCCATTGCGTTCTGAAGTCTCCTATCACCCACTCCCTCATTTCCAAAGACTAACTGAAACTCTCGCCCTCCCTCATTAAGGGAGTGCACAGATAAGCGCTTCCTTAAGCGCTTCCGTAATAATGAGTCATACCTAATTTCCCTGTAAATAGTCAGGCTTGGAGATACATGCAACTCTCCATCTGAACTATATTATATGCAGTATGACCTCTTTTCAAATTGCTCTCTAGTTATTTCACCGCTATTGGCTTCATTTATTTTTTTAATGATTGGGGAAGAATATTGGTTTTAGATGAGATCCGTATGGATGCTTGTCTGTTTTATACATTCACAGTCATGTGCTTGTAAATCATTTTGTTTGTCTGTATTCTTTACGGAAATAAGACCAAATTGGAAACTGTAAGGGAAAAAAAAGGTAGAGGGGAATGAGAGGAAGAGAGAAGGGGGGAAAGAATGAAAGAAAGAGAAAACTGTTTATGTTTATTTCAAGCGCTTTGTTACAAAATTGCTTCCTGGGTTTGGATGAAGAGTCTGGGACCTCATCTGGTGCAGCCTAGACCTCCTGCCTGTGCTGGGGAAAGAGAAAAGGGGAGCTTGGCCC